TTGTAATTGAGTTTTTTATGGGGTAGTTTCAGGGTTCCCTTGTACCGAACAGCGATATGTACTTGCGGATGCATTCTTGGCTGGTTTAGCGGATTGCCTGCAAGGGGAGGCGATGAGTGAAGCTGGAAGTTGGCTCCTCTGCCCTCGGCAAACATCTTCCTGAAGAGGTCGGTCAAGTGCAATGTTCAGGGGCTCCCAAACTATGGCATGTTTCAGTCATGTGGTGTTATTCCAGTTTGCCACTCCATGGGAACGTAGTGGCGGTGGGGATGTTCTGCCACGACATCGGGTCGAGCGGAACTCATGCTGCGCAACTGTGACTGCTTCTCGAGCCACGTTCATTATTCTGTACGCCGTGGAACAATTGCTCAAATAGACTTATCATCTCAATCTAATCGATCAGATCAATCCAATCGCATCTCACGCAGCACACCTATCCGAGTTCGTGTTTAATCGGAATTTACAATGAACAATTCGAATTCATGTTTCGTGATTATGCAGATAGTACCACAAAAACAAAAGTTTATGAAATACGGTGATAGCTTTGCATTAATATACACTCCATTTCAGTAACCTGAAGCTGTTAACTAGCATCGTCTTTGGTCTCTACTAGTGTTTCTACTAGTTCCTTGCACATGCCTTCAAACGCTCATCGGGAGTCTCGCAATCTAGATTGGGCTTATAAGCTTTATTTTTGGTATCTGGAGCTTGACAGCCGGTAATATTATACTATTTCGAAGAACAAAGTGTGTACATGAATAAAAGGAAAAGTAGTGAAAAGGAAAAGTGGACGGCGGGGGTTGATATTAAAGCAACAGTCCCAGCAGGGTTTTTACCTTCGACACTAATGGTGTGGAACGATGCGCTAGCCCTAGTCAAGAACATAAGAAGTGTGACTGAACAAAAAACTCACCTTGGAAAGCCGCTAGAAAGGGAGCTGAACGGCTTCGAAGTGGGCGTGGTTATCAATCGGCTGGGGATTGCAGGCATCGTTCCATACCATTAGTGTCGAAGGTGAAAACCTTGCTGGGAATGTTGCTTTAAATAGTTAATTTGAAGGAAAATTCTGCGACAGGATATACTTGAGTGAATGCATCCGAAAATGAAAACACATATGTAGCTGCGATAACTGGTTCATCAGTTGTAAAAAGCGTCAAAGGCTGCTGAAGATCCAAAAAATCGCGCGGCTTCATGGCCGGAATACTCATTGGCTGTCTGCATCTCATTGTCAGATATTTACTTGTTTCATATGTAGCTGCCCTACGAGATTGATAGGTGGAACGTGTATCAGATCGGCCTAACGTTTCGAAAGAATCGTCGTCCTCAGTGGCCCAAATGTGGTTAAAGGTTGACATGACATACACTCCATCCCTTCTAGCGGTTGCGACGTTCCGTCAGAAGCTCCACAGAGAAACATAACCAAGAGTGATTATAAACTCATTCAGAACTTCACTTTTTGCGCGCGTATTCCACACGTTAGCGTTCCTCAGTAAGAAATAATGCATACCGTACTGTCTCCGATATTAGAAGCACTTGGCAGGCGCACCTAGGCTTTCATTCTACAGTTCGCAGTGCGGTATAAACGGCGAAAGATCACTTGTATTCGAAGGGTGCTCATCTCGGTTGTTCATTGCTAAATAGAATAGAAAAGAATAAAGAATAAGGATAGAGTAAATCAGAATGCTTCGAAAGCTTTTCTGGCAGCAATTTCCGTTTTATGCGCTTATGTACTTTATTTCGAAGCAAACCGACACACAAAGTTAGCGCTTATATAATAGACGAAATTCAATGCCATTGTGCTTCTCAATTTTGTGCCTTCCCAAGAGCTGTTGAACGAGTACCGCATCTCATGCTAGCCAGGTGTTCTTTGATGCGAATGGCTAGAACCCTTCCTGTTTCTCCAATATAGGTTGAGTTACAAGCTTGGCATTCAATTTGATAAATTCACTCCCCTATATGCACAATCTCCTTTACCATATTTGCAAATAACACAACCGTCTGACACACACTGCCTATCATAGAGCCTGTTTTGAACCAGCTGGCGTCCTGTGCTTTGGTTTGGATTAATGAGCACATCATTATTAGCGTGTGGTTGCGGAATACGCGCGGAAAGGGTGGAGTCCTGGTGAGTTTAATATCACTCTTGTTATGTTTCTCTGTGGAGCTTCTGACGGAACGTCGGAACCGCTAGAGGGGATAGGCGCTTGGTGGAGTAGAATGTGTTATGTCAACCTTGAGCCACAAACCTCTGAGGACGATTTTGTCGAAACGTTAGGCCGATCTAATAAATGTTCCACCTGTCAACCTCGTATGGCACATGAAACCGTAACGCAAGCAAGAACAAGTGATGTCGAGGTTACAAGAAGAGAGAAATTGAAGAATACTTCAAGACCTGCGTTTAACGTTTATTTTTCCATCTCAAAGGGAAATCTAACAAATGAGATCCCGTAGGAGCGGAACTCAACGCCATATGTGATTTCAGTTTTGAGGGTTTTTCTGCTTGCTCTCTATTCTGGTAGGCTAACCTCCAAATCTGCAGTCATGGGGAGTCGTACTCATGGGGTCAGTAACATCAGTGGCATCGTGGTGCAGATAGGAGTAAGAGGGTGTAGCGCAGCAGAAAACAAATGTGAAAAAAACATGATATAAAATATTCTTTGCAGGTTCAGTCGCTCCAATGAGAAGGACGTATTTGAAAGCAGTACAAAGAATGAAAGTGCATCTCCGCAAGGAACGGGGCCACATGTGCGCACGCGCTGCAAAGGCACCTCCTCGCCTATCGCTCGCTCCTTCTCCCTTAATACCTCGCTGAGAATGACACTGTTGTTAGGGACCTGTCGCAAAAACGACAACCGTGTATAACTTCGTATATGTATACATTCGACACTGAATAATACGAGTACGGCTTTTTTGAGCGGCCAAGAATCAATTCTCGATAGATCATCGACGCAAATATCTCCTCAACTAGAAATGTGGGAAGAAGGAAATTAACAAACTGTTAGGAAAGCGCAATCCTTCCCCTTCCCAAAACTGTCTTCGTTCCGGAGGTCTTGCGAAATTAGAGAGATATTGCCTTTTAAGGGGCAAAAACTTGCATGAAAATTTCAGCGACTCGCCGCTGCCTCGACGGATTTTGAGAACTTTATCTCTTCGAATGGAAGCCTTTCATGGCAATGCCAATATTGCCTGATAGTATCAAATCTAGCTCTATCTAACCCTACCGCGTGCTGTTCAAAAGGTTGGGAAATGGAGGAATGGAACCTTTTCATCGAGGGTGTAGATTTCGACAGTTTTTTCCGGGATTTCAGCAAATCTGACCCAGGACAAATCAAGCAGCTGCCGGCGAATCGGCCGTTGATCGATTCACTAGGCTGTTGTGGTTTTGCGTATGCTTTGTTTTTTTTTTTTGGGGGGGGGAAGGGGTAATTCCAGACCTCGATTTCGGAGGGGGGGGGGGGGGGAGAGAGGAGTCGCCAGCTTCGACGACACGTCCTCGACCGATTTTTACCCTCGCCGCGTGTACTGCCAGTGGGAAAGCTTGAGGGAAGTCGAGGGAGGAGAGAAGAACAAGTGCCTACTAATCGAAGCTCCAAGTCGGCACTGATTGAAGTTGTCATTTTAACGTTATGTCACGATTGAGATAATGCGTTCTGCTTTATAAAAACTTTTTGTGATAGGTGATTTTTGAGATATCCCTTTCACGAAGTGTTGGTGTCAAAAGTGCAAGCGAGCGCAGCTGAAGGAATACAGGTTACGCAAAGATGAAGGTCCTGGCGACTGCCGAGGGACAAATGTGGTGTTCAATAGATGATCAAAGCTGTGTTGATGTTAAAAGTAACCGGTTACAGTGCAGTAGTGATGACACTCATTCAGTAAGCGCGAGACACTGGTTCGAGCCCTTGCTGAGACGGAGTGTCTTACCCAGGCCTCGGCACTCTTGTGATAACTTTGATCTACAATTTGTTTTACAATTAATGTTTGTTTGAGCGGAAAAGACTAAAACTGAGTTAAAGAACTGATCTCCCCCGGGGTGGACCGTACTCAATTACTATCACAGAACCGCATCATAAGAAGCTAAGATTATGACCCCTTTTTCGAGAACGAGAAGGACACCTCCGTATCCGATTCATTCGACTAGCAAATGCTTAATGCGGTTGCTTCACAAGAAAATTTATGATTGGAATTCCGATCTTGCAACACTTCTTGCCAACACTCGATGAAGCAGCAATGACGACTTCACTAAAGGACACGCCTACCGATCTGATGACTTCCGTGCAAAGTTGTAGTTTCCGCTGACAATGAGATAAGATCTAGTGCAGCACACACCATTCAGCACAAAATCGGGTTCGTAAGTACTAATGAAAAATCTTCTTAGATGGCCTTCCATCTGCGATGTCAATGTTCTAAAACTGCTAAAATTTCAGAGCCGTCTTACCCATGAAAACTTTGTCAATTCTGAAGGTAAGACACAGAAAAGATTATGGTATAAAAAATCAAACAAAATAGTAGCAGTATGGTGACATAGTAACGGTCGTAGCGGCCAACTACACCCTTAAGGAACTGTTTCGAAAAAGTCCTAGTCGTTTGTATTGAACCACTTTTTGATAAAAGTTAGTCTGAGGCTAGTTATTCAGAACACTTGGATAAATTACAGACAGCATGGGCTGCTTTGGACACTGTGAAACAGCTTGACGGCCGTAGTACACATTGTATAGTTCGTTTAGTTCGTTGCAGAGCCCTTTAGCTACCTTTTCAACGAACTTTTCAAAACTTTTAATGTTTGTCTCTTTCTTTACAACAGTGGTCCAGTTCTTCACAACATGAACAACTATGTGCGGCGCAATCGTGGCTTTTGACAGTGAAATTTGGCTGCCTGTATCTCTAGGACCTAGATGACAGTAAAAATTCAAGGTGTCTTTGCGAGCTCCATTGGCTTGCTGGCTTCATCTCCTCCACACAAATCGACAGCAACGAAAGCAGTTTGACGTCATTCGGTGCCAAGCTTTGCTGAATACGTCAGGCACTTTAAGGTCAGAACGTACCGGATTCTGAAAATCTGAAGTGTTATTTTGTTCAATAAGTGTCGTCGCTTTTTTAAGAGTGGAGATATTTTTCTCCAACTAGGAAAAGCTTTCAACTTCCCCTAGAACATTGAATGGGGTCAAGTATGCAGGTCACAATATGGATACCAAAACTGCCACATGGACTTCCCAAGCATGTTGTGAGCGATCAAAGCTGACAGCAAATGCAAAAACAAAAATTTGAACTATAAAAAAGTTAGAATGAAAGTGTATTTGTGGGGGCTTGATACGAACACATAGCTTGGCTTCCGTTTCGCACAAGTCAGGTCAAATCCAGCTATGAGGGGAGCTGTTG